ACAGAATTGTACTATAAAACTCGTTAAAATCTAAAGATTCAGAAACTATAAGAACAAAACTGCTTACGTGGAGGTAGAGTTTTTATATGAAGCCGGCTTTATTTGACTCAACTATTAGCATTCTACCTTTTGTTTCTTTTCTGCTCATCATTTCTTCTTCTTTTTCATTTCCTGATTTTCATAATTTATTAGTCACTTTTTAAACCAATACAAAAAGTATATATATGCAAATATACTAAGAACTATCTTCTATATATTAATAGAAGAGATACTATATAAAAAACCTTATGTGTTATCTAAAGAGGAATTTAAAGATCTTATTTCCTAAAAAAAATTATTAATGACAAATATATTAAAATAACAAATATGTGGTAATTAATATAGAGAATTTTATTTAAGAAAAATAGAAAATATTTGAAAATATCTTATTGTATTTTCAATAACTACTAGGATTTTTATCCGAATCAAACACGGGATTAGAATATTCAAAAGCAAAAATTTATGATTATTTCAAATAGATGGAGAACTTAAAACTAACAAAGATAAAATATATTTATGTTTGATCAAAATATAACTTTTTGACATTTATGCACAATACATATTATTTTTGTATGTTTACAAATATTAGAATACACGTCTAAATAGTAAATTCAATTAGAAAACATATTCATTGTTTAATCTCACGCTTGGCGTGGGTCAAAATCTAGTAATATTATTATCTTACTAGAATCTTTGTTTTAAAAACCAAACCAAACCGAAATTGAATTCGGTTCTATGAGACATAAAAACTGGAATTCCAAAACTCTTAATGGTTGAGAAGAAAATATTTTCTCTCTCAATTGTTTTTGTTAATACAACGTGTTCCTCGTGTAACTAAAATTGGGAGACGTGAAAACATAACTAGTCCTTCACATTTTGAAATATCTAGACAATATTTTCTTTCTTACCTATTATCATTTTTTTTTAATAGAAGAAGAAGTTATGGGCAAGGTCCTTAATCTCTTTTGCCGGGACCAATCGTTTTCAACTTCTTATTAAAAAAAAAATTATCACCTTTCCCAACTACTAGCACTCGAATTCACGAAAGCACGACTTCTCAGTCATTTGGAAGGATCATCACCAAGAGCTACTTAATACATATTATCATTTCTCTTGTTTGAATTTCTTGTGTATTTTACAATAATTTGTGTATAT